CATTTTATCTCTGAAGCAGACGACTTCTCAAAAATTGTAGACCAGTGTAATGGATTATTCATTGTTTGCTACTTATCATTTGCTACTTCTTTCTTTTAAAAAATTCCAGTTATCCAGTCAGAGCAGAACAACACTGCATGATTTTGGTGACTAATAACATACCATAGAGACAAAGAATCAAAATGAAAAATTCAAGAACAAACTCATAGCACAAATGTTGTTTGCATATTGTAGATAGTTGAATATTTATGAAAAACAAATACTTTAGGAGAAATCAGTACCAGTGTGCAAGCAATTCAGAAACAGAAAAACAGACCTAAATTCCCAACAAATTTTATTCACAGCAAATATTTCACCGAAAGGATCTCTATTTTATGACTGTGCAAAATTCATGCAAATGCAAAACCTATATTTGCATAAATAACTAGGACAACTAACTGTTTGTCATATACCCGATTTGCGCATTCATATGACTATATATTCACATGCAAATGAAAGTTCAATGTGTCTACAAAATGAAGTCCCTTAGAAACTTTTACCTGAGGAATCAAATGAAATTTAAGTTTAAGGGTGACCTGTAGGCTACCTCTACATTTGAGCTGGGAGATGTGATTTCCAGCTTGCATGGGCATACCCACTCTAGCTCTCTAGTAGCAGTGTGACCAGTGTAGCAGTGGCAGCTTGCGCTAGACACCCAAGTACATACTCGGGGGTCTAGACTGGTTTGTATATGCTACCCCAGCCACACTGCTATTTTTAGGCACTAACTCAAGCAGAACAAGCATGGGTCCATCTACACCAGTGTTTCTCAAACTGGGGTCACTGCTTGTTTAGGAAAAGCCCGTGGCGGGCTAGGCTGGTTTGTTTACCTGCCCCGTCCGCAGGTCCGGCTGATCGCAGCTCCCACTAGCCGCAGTTCTCCGCTGCAGGCCAATGGAGGCTGCTGGAAGTGGCGGCCAGTAAGTCCCTTGGCCTGCGCCACTTCCAGCAGGTCCCATTGGCCTGGAGCAGCGAACTGCAGCCAGTGGTAGCCGTGATCGGCCGGACCTGTGGACGGGGCAGGTAAACAAACCGGCCCAGCCTGCCAGGGGTTTTCCCTACACAAGCGGTGACACCAGTTTGAGAAACACTGATCTACACAAGCTGGCAATCACATCTCCCAGCTCAAATATAGACATAAGCACCAGATTCATGGATGCACACTTGCTAGTCTACGCCACGGTAGCAATACAAAACAACAGTATAATGCATTTAACTTGGTGGGCATGTAGGAAAACTCAGCAGTTTCTTCCCCCTACCACTGTAGCAGGTGGACGGGAAGTTCATTGACCTTGGCTTGCTCTTCACAACTCACTGGTCAGAAAAGCTGGGGTTTCAGGTGCTTTGTGGTACTGAAGCAACACAAAACATCTGAAGCAATCTGGTAAAATTGTCCATATAGTATAAATACAATGAT